CATTTTGTTTCCACAGCTCTGTATCCATTCTCAGTCACTCGCTTACAAAGGCGTCAACAGACAAAGAATGGATTCCCACTAACTGAGCAGCTCTGACCAAATCCTCAGTATAGATTACGGCTAAAATCCTGTGTATAAAGTGCATTACTGAAATGAAAAATTCCAAACAAAGAAAACTTTTAAAGCTCTATTATCACCGCAGCACACAACATAAAGGTCAAGGGTGACTCGGATGATAAATCGAGCTCAGGCTCGCCGGCCGCAGCATCTCACAGAGGCTTTTATAGACATAATACATCAGCAGTATATTTCGATCATTAACTGGGCAGCAGTGTCCAGAATGCTTCACCCCACCCTGGCCTTTTTAATGCACTCATACTCCCCTATATTATAGCTCCAGCTCAGTGGAGTGAAAATGTGCTGCAGCGTTGGAACATTTAGTTCGGAGAAGAAAACATGATTTTATACTTTAATCCTCAAATGCATTCATGCACAGAGCCGCTGTTTACGCCTTCATCATCCTAAAACTGAACTAAAAAACAAGCATGGCTGCAATCATCATTAGGTGCAATACAGTGACAAGCAGAAGAGGAAATGACTCCAATAATAACTCACACTACTGCTGCAGAACTATTTACAGCCCAAAATACCACTGGTGACATTTAGTGTATACGCTGAATACAAATGTGTGGAGCTCAGACATCATTCTCACTTATGTGTGAGTAGTGATTGTTTTGTATTTACTTTTCCAAAGCTCTCGTCCCCGTCTCTACAGGAGTACTTAACAATCTACTTTACTATTCCAGTGTTCCAGTGGAGACGGAGAGCCGGAGCTATTCTTACCGCAGACATGTCTCACGCTGTTTCCCTCACCCATCTTATATTAGAGCTTTCAGCACCTGCGACTTTGAGAGGTCTTAGCTTAAATCCCCCTTAATACTTGTGTGAGAATGCACATCACACACTGATGTTATACACACGGCTGAGGAGTTTTCTCACACCTGTCGTTGTGTGTGTGCGCGCATGTGTGTGTGTGCGTGTTTAATTGTCCCTCTGTCACTTGAGCTCTCTCATGCATGCTCATAAATATATTTCTTAATTATGTGTGTGTGTGTGCACAAGCATTACACCGAGATTAAAATGTATTTTTTACTGGCAAGCATTAATGAAACTTGCTAATAGCACCAGGTCTGTATCATGCTCTGCAACACACACACACACACACACACACACACGCGCATATAAACCCCCACTAGGGCTATCATTCTGTCATCTCTGCTGCTGTAGAGCTGTTCCATAGGGAGCCTTGAGGCTGACTTATGACCATCCACACATCGCATTACAGTAGGCCTGTAATGTGTTGCTGAGGAAGAAAATATTAAGCCAAAGGGAAGGAAAAACAATTTCCTGATGTAATACCGGATTGTTATGCATGCTGGATAGATCCAGTGTAGAACTGCATCTGCAGTGAAAGCTTGAGGAAATGAAAAGTCATTAAAAGAACAGTGTGTGGGGTTTAGTGGTATCTAGCGGTGAGGATTGTAGATTGCAACCAGCTGAAACATCTCCCAGTTGGAGCTCCTTCAGTCTTCATTGTTCAGGAGGTTTTAACCAGGAGCCAGATTATTCCCAGAGGTCTCTTTTTCTCCAAAACAAAAGGACCAGGTGATTGAAACCTGTAAAACACTGAATGAAGCAGTTTCATGTTACAAAGTTTTCCTACCCAGTTCTGCTTGTCGCTATCCCAACTAAGCTTTCTCCATGACCTTCCTCAAGAAAAGAAAGGTCTGGCTGGGCCGACTCTCACTTTAAGATTGGAGAAAAAAACGCCCCGGCTTTTTTTTATTTCTTTCAACCAATCACAATCTTTCTGGGCGGTGCCAAAGCAACGGTGCACTTGCAAAAATATTGCCGGGGGGAAACAGGTTTTGGTGTAACACGCCCACAAAAATATCGCCTACAGGACGCGAACCATGGCAGAAAAATGGCTACATCCCCGCAAGATCAAACACTGCAAAAGTTAGTAAAGGACATTTGTCGACTATGGCAACTGGAGGTGGTAGGGCGGGACTTCAGTGGGTGGCTCGTTCCGCCCAATGAGAGGCTGATCTATGCAACAAACTTCCGCCCACTCAGACTACTGTGGACCTAAACGTTAAAATATAATGCACTAGATGCCCTTCTGCCTGTGGACGTTCTGGGACAACATCTCATTTGACGCCTGCATGCATTGTGTCTTTTCAAAATACAGTTAGATTTTCATTAGATATGTTCAGTTTTTGAACATTACATGCATTGGTCTTTCTCAAAATAAACTTCCTACTTAGGTAAAACACCTGTTTTTACATGTATGTGTTTAGGCAACAAAAGCATGGAGTCTGCGTGTTCTCCCCGTGTCAGCATGGGTTTCCTCCAGGTACTCCAGCTTCCTCCCACAGTCCAAAGACACGCAGGTTAATTGGTGACTGAATTGTCCGTAGGTGTGAATGTGAGTGTGAATGAACAAATGCACATGGCTACGTTTTGAAAAAATATCATAGCTTCTCTCAAAATGAGTATGGTTGTTACTGATGTCATGTAACATCACAGGACATAGGTTATGTGAAATATGTCACTACCATACCATGCCACACATACTAGCACACTACTTTCTTATTAACATAACATTGAATTTTGGTTTCACACAGGAAACAAACAGCAGGCTCCCGGGTGAAAGTCCAGACTTAGTTTGATCCCTCCACCTCCCCTCCCACCTGCCTTATATGGGCTTTTTTTTATGACTTTAGTTTATTGAGTTTCAAACTTTCAACAACACAAAACCACCTCAAAAGGGAAAAAAACCCCTCCCCGAACAACTGCAGGCGGAAAAAAAATACAAATGAAATAGGTAAGGACTGACTCATACCAATAGATAGATAAAACAATAAACTGAGGTAAACAGAAATAACGGTATTAACATGATACATAAGAAACTTGCCAGAGTCCAACCAAAGCACAGTTAAATGTCCCAAATCATGTCCATGTAATAGTGTCCATATAAATATTTCCTTCCTCTGGTTGCACCATCATCACATCCACCCTCTTGCACTCATTACAATCCCAACAAGACCTGTACACACTTCTGACAACATGCTTCTGTATGTTTAGTGTTTCAGATGAGATCTGTAACAAAGCTGTGGTATTTGACGAGCTAGGATTGACAACAGGCTGTATGTGCTCAACTTTTTTTTCTGATCTAGATGTTCAGGAGGTTTTAAGCTGGAGCTGAATTATTCACAGAGGTCTCTTCCTCTCCTAAAAAACGAGTCCAGTCTCACTCTGAAGTCGTCAAAATCCGGCACTTGGGCAGTGACTTGTGGCGTTGGAAACCATTAAAAAAGGCGTCCTTTGACGTCTGCATGATACATGGCCAGTTGCTGTTGTAGTTGAAGTGCGCCCAGCAGCATCAGGGGGAAATGTGGCGGGACAAGGACGATAGTTAAGACGGTGAAAGTCCGACTGTGGGTGGATGGGTCCAACAAACACTGACTTTCACCTGAGAGAGCGGTGTTCACGTTTCTTAAGATTCTAAAGCCAAACCCTGTTCTTTTTCCCGAGACCTATACTAATCAAATGTTTTTTGTTGCTGAAGGAAAAGAAACGTCAATTCACAGTACTGTAATGACATAGTGCTTTTATTTTGAAAGAGACTGTATGTAAACTGTAAATTTCAAGTGAGAACGGAAGCGTATTTTGAAAGAAGACAATGCATGTAACAGGCAGAACTTGACACGGTGTCCCAGAACGTCAACAACCAGCACACCCAGGGTACCTTGGATGTTGTGTGTGGACGTGGAAAGTCCATGACCAAACAAAGATATTAAGTTTAAGTTTATTTACTTTATTAATCCCCTGAGGGGAAATTCAGTGTTTTCACTCTTGCTTGTCAATTACACACAGGTCTGAAAGACACACATGCACAAACAGGACCCCACGCTCCATATTTTGGTCCGGACGGGTACTCGAACAGGCGACCCTCCGGTTCCCAACCCAAGTCCCTATGGACTGAGCTACTGCTGCCCCATGTGACGAATGTGTTGAAAAAAAGTTTCACGTAAAAAACGTCAGTGTTTTTCGGATGCTCTTGTCGCAGAGGGCTGTTAACTACTTTCGCCAACGTGAAAATGCTCACCCTATCTAGAGCCAATGTTTTGTCCATTCCGGGCTACTGTAGAATCATGGCAGTGCAACATGGTGATCTCCATGAATGAGGACCTGCTCCCTATGTAGAAAATAAATGGCTCGTTTTAAGGTAACAAAAGCATGACGATTCTCATTTTCAGATGATTTTACACTGAGAAAACATACATATATTATATTCAATTTCTGCTAGTGTACTGCCTAAATTCTTCACACTGGACCTTAAAGACAAAAAAAAGAAATGACCCTCCACTTTGAGGCTGCATTCATAACTTTTAGCACATACTGCATCATCTGAATGACAAAATCTGATATAAAGTGTTTGATATTTCCATCACCAGTCCTCAGTGTTAAAAGAAATAGCCTAACTTACAGTTAAAACCCTGCTGGAAAAGTTAGCTCCAGGCTGCAGGAGCAAGACAGAATGTACAAAAAATGTGCTATCAGAGTGCACGGATCTCTCTCTCTCTCTCTCTCTCTCTCTCTCTCTCTCTCTCTCTCTCTCTCTCTCTCTCTCTCTCTCTCTGTGTGTGCTTCAGTATTAACAGGCTGGATTCTGCCTCAATACCGAGGACATGCGCGCTGAACAGGGGGAGGAGGTGTATCACAGTCTGTCTGCTTCTCATGTTTTCTCTTGACTCAATTATGGTGCGGAACTCTCATTTTCTAATCGCCTGTTCTTGTGGCACAGAGGAAAAGTGAGGATCTGTTTCTCTTTTTCCATCCATGACAGTATTTTGACACTTTTGTGTTTAGGAGCTTTTAGTTTCTCACAGAGTCCGTGTTTTATTTTTCTCCTTATTATTAGATTTTTCTAATAATCGATCGCCCCCGCCGCCACCCTGAAGTTCATTGTTATTATCTTGGCCGCCGGGATGGTGGCCTTCATCGGAGCGGTAATCTGCATCATCGCAGCCGTCCACACCGGATCCTCCAGGGCTGCCGCGGCACAACAACAACCAGCATCCGATAATCACTCGCTGTATCCGGACGCGGCGGCGCAGAGCCCCGCTTCCGCGGGCTCCGTGGCCCGGGTCGGATCTCTGGGCGCTCTCCATGGTTCTGAAACGCCCGACTCAGAAGCACCGACCTTCAACATCGGGCTCGGCGGGCTGGACGGGGTCACCGGACTCACCGGGCATGACCCAACGGTCAGTCGGCTCATCTGCACGCCGATCCCCGCAGGGGAGTGCAACCCGAAAAACTTTCAGCAACAAGCGGATGACCCGTCGCTGTACGCCGGGGAGGACTGGGGCTACCTCCGCACCACCGCGGAGGAGCTCCGGCAGACCGTCCTGCAGCAGAAGGACCAGATACTAACAGACCAGCGAACCATCCGGGAGCTGACGGGGAAACTATCCGAGTGTGAGAAGGGGCTGGACGGCAAGAGCAGCAGCAGCAGCGCGGACAGACGCGGGAGCGCTGCGGGGCTGTGGGGGGGCAAAAGCGCGGCTGTGGATGAGGCGCACCTGGAGCGGGTCATGGTGCGGGACAGCCCGGGTTCGACGCCCGACGGTGTCCACTTGCTCACCGTCAGGGCTGTGGACGAGCTGGAGCAGGCTATCACTCAGCTCAAAGACCGCATAGAGAAACTGGAGGTGAGTGGAGTGTGGAGAAGATCACATGAATCATAAATCATCTCCTGCATGCAGCTAACACAGCAGAATTAATCCCAGGGAGCAAAGTGTGTCCCAGGATGGGATTTAAAGGCATAAAAAACAATCTCCCTATTATAACATCCACCTAGACTGGTGTTTCATGGTCTTATATCAGCTTTGAATATTAACATGTACTATAACTCCAGCTCTGGCTACATGTAGCTGCAATAAGTGATGATCAGAGTTGATATCTGTGGCTATATTTGTCTCCTTTTCACTCTTAGAGTCCCCTTCTGGGCACGCATGAGTGGTTTATGAAAGCAAGGCTTTTAAATTTTGAATGAGAACAAGTGAGTTGTCCAAAAAGCTTTGTGTGTGATGTATGATAGTGGAAGCCAGATAAAGGAACAAAACCTCCACCTTTCTGTTGGCATAGGGCTGGGAGATAGGGAGAATATCAAATATCAATGTTTTTGACCAAATACCTGTATTAATATTGCAGCAATATTATATATTATATTATTATACGACTATTGGTGCTTTAACTAAATATTTACACTATGAGATTTTGAATTATAATGATCAATAATGTGGATATAATGATTAAATGAGCAAAGGCAAATAATAGAACAGACGATATCTCATAGTGCCCATCCCTCCTCACAGCATAATCACTTATCACATGATTCAATTTGAAATGATTTTAATTGCTGATAAGATCAGTATTTAGTGATTTTTTTTTTTATATAATTATAACTTGTCCTCTGCCGGTGCCTCTTAATGCCTTTAATAATACATGAATCGATTGCTTTGGCGAGCGCGCTAATCTACCACGCCAGGAAAACAGATTGAAAGTTAAAAGGAAGACAGAGATGTAAAGTGAGGCAGGGAAACAGAGGGGAGAGGAGAGAGGGGGAGGATGGAGAGGAGAAATGAGGATAAAGGGAATTGAGGGGGAGAGGAAAGGAGCAGCAGCAGGGGGAGGAAGAGGAGGAGGTGGAGGAGAGAGTATAGCAGAGTAACATGAAACGTGCTCTTGTCTGACCAGAATCCGATGATGTATAACCTCATTTTTGGCTAAAGAAACGCCATGCATAATTTATGAGTTGCCTATATTTGTAGAAAGCGCAGACTGAATGTGCCTCTGCAGTATAGTACTCCTCGCTCTGTGGTCGCGTCTGTACGGGCCGTTTTATTTGTAGATTACACACACTTTGTTTTCCATATCGCCTCTGCCACAGACGCAAACCAAGAATGGAGAAAGGCTGATCAATATTCACGTTTTACATCTTTCAGGAATAAGATCTGGTTTGATATCACAGATCTGCAGGGTGATGTGTAGTTAACTCTAAAACACAATACCGGAGCCAGTGTGTGTGTCTTTCACCATCCAAGTCACGTTTCTGTGTAGGAGGAGGTGCTTGGCCTACTTCACAGTGTGGTGTTTACATCAGATCCTGTGTGTGCTGGCGAAAACACCAGTGAGGTCAAATAGCTGACTTGCTATTCTATTTTTCCACCACCATTAGAATCCAGTCACATTAGCTTCACGTCCTGCTATCCAACATTTGGTCAGACTATGTGAGGCAACGTGACATGGCTGCAAATGTGAATGTGTAGTCACTGTAATGGGTTTCATTTCCAGCATACCTACACTTGATAGTGTCTGATTGCAGTTTGAGCAGTTAGGATTTTTTCTTCCTGCAACAGCAGTGACATTTCCATCATAACCAGAGGCTCAGTGGTACCAAGCGCTCTGTAATATCATGCTGATCCAGCTCCAGTCTGGAGATCCTTGTCACTGCGCTCTACCTGTGGTACAGGCTGAGTGTGAGGAGCAGTGTCTTCTGTCTTTGACTGATCAATGAAAAATTTTGCTTCTTTTGTTTTCATGCAGTTGTTTTACATCAGGCTGATTAATATGGTAGCATGGATGCGTGTATAGAGAATGTGAAGTTGACGTCACGCTGTGTTAAATTATTTTGGACATGCCATCTGCCTGTGCCTGCTACAGTGGTCAAACAAGGTATCAGGGCAAACTATCAAGATAAACAACATAGATCCATATGATTTAAAATGATTAAACAGATCTTTTGTCTCTTTTGTCTGGATCTGATGAGAAGGTAACAAAGGAGGGGGCCATTTTGCGCTTCCTTCTCGTCTCTAATGAGAGTTGCACACTGGCAGTACTCAATAACTAACTTATGTCGTTGCTGTTATTTGATAACTGCTAATAAGTAAAACACTCGTCTCATCCCTGGGGGTGTGGGAGCCGTACTGTGCAGAGTTTGCATGTTCTCCCCGTGTCAGCGTGGGTTTCCTCCAGGTGCTCCAGCTTCCTCCCACAGTCCAAAGACATGCAGGTTAATTGGTGACTCTAAATTGTCCATAGGTGTGAATGTGAGTGTGAATGGTTGTCTGTCTCTATGTGTCAGCCCTGTGATAGTCTGGTGACCTGTCCAGGGTGAACCCTGCCTCTCACCCAGTGTCTGCTGGGATAGGCTCCAGCCCCCCTGTGATTCCCAGCAGGATAAGTGGTTACAGAAAATGAATGAATGAATGAATGAATGAATAATGATAAGCAAGAAAATTTCAAGGGGAGGAGCTAGGAGAATGTCTGAATGCACAAATGGGCAAATGAAAAAAACACTGATGTCAATTCCTGCAGACCCCAATGCACTACCTCCAGTCACATATCCCAGACACTAGCCATGTTTCCATCAGCCTGTTTAGATGCACATCTAGAAGTATCGCATCGGAAAATTATGATGGAAACGCCAAAATTCGAATTAAAATCCCCTGATTCGCACAAACTAAAATATGCTTGCTTTAGCCGGGTTTTAGTTGATTCGAAAAAATGTTGATTCGCAAAACGGGGGATGGAAACAGTTATGTTTGAATTAAGTCTGACGTAGCGCACCTCTCTCCATGGTGATATCCACGCTCCGGGTCAGGAAGGCGGTAATGCATTTACAAGCTGGTTGCCTATGGGGTGCCGTTTGTAAAGTGTCTCATGCTGAAAATAACATCAACATTTTGCCACATTTAGCTTCAAACAATGTTTAAAAAAGTGTGAATTTTTTAACGTCACCTTTAACCACATTTACAGCAATATTTGTTAACTTAGAAATATATTAAATAGTTAAATCTAAATATTAAATGTGGCACCTAAATGTTAAATGTTAAATCTAAATATTAAATCTAAATCTAAATGTTAAATCTAAATCTAAATGTTAAATCTAAATCTAAATGCTAAATCTAAATCTAAATGTTAAATCTAAATATTAAATCCAAATCTAAATATTAAATCTAAATCTAAACGCTAAATCTAAATGCTAAATATAAATATAAATCTAAATGTTAAATCTAAATCTAAATATTAAATCTAAATCTAAATATTAAATCTAAATCTAAATGCTAAATCTAAATCTAAATCTAAATCTAAATATTAAATCTAAATCTAAATGCTAAATATAAATATAAATATAAATGTTAAATCTAAATATTAGATCTAAATCTAAATGTTAAATCTAAATGCTAAATCTAAATCTAAATGTTAAATGTTAAATCTAAATGTTCTGGGTGAAACTAAATATTTAGCTAATAGCAAATTCACACTGCCGGTCACCGGAAGTACCAAAATAAAAGCTTGAGATGGTCAGACTGTGTTTATAGAATCAAATAACTAACACCAACACCAAACCAACATATCAGGGGAAATGAACACTTGAACATACATTAGTGTGATAATAACTACCTAAAATAACAATAAACATGTTTGGAGAAATTTTATTTGACGTGTACTTTGAGTTGTTAGTGTCCCTACTGTGTAGTTCTGCCAACATTAGCTACTTTGAAAAAAAAAGAGAGAGAAATTGAGAAATTAAGAAATGACAGCTTCCCTGAAACAGAAATAACAATTAGCCTCCAGTGTTTTGTTGAGCACCTCAAGGACAGAGGAAAGTTGTACGTTGTAAAGCCCTCTGAGGCAAATTCTGATTTTTGATATTTGGCTTTCTAAATAAGACTGAATTGAACTAAAATCAGACCAGTGTCAACAAGATTACAACCTATCACACCAGGTGTTTGTATAGTAAGCCATGCTAGCTGCTCTGTCAGGCTGTACTTAGTGTAGGAAGGTGGTGCTAAGCTAAATGCTAACATTATCATCCAAACATGCTCATGATAAAAATGCTAACATGCTAATGTTTAGCAGGGATACGGTTCATGAAGTTCTCCATTTTAGTGTAGCGTGTTAGCATGCTAACTGAGATAAAGGTGCTGATACACCAAACCGACATCAAAGAAGTAGCGGCGACTAAAGCCAACTGTTGCGTCGTCTACGTCGCCTCACGTCGCCCTGTGTCAGTTGCATTTGAACACACTACACGGACTACATCCGACGGCCAAGTAGCACATACGTTCTGCGCCTGCGTGAGAGAGAGTGGAGTGGAGTGAGAGAGTGGTACATCCTGTCAGCCGAGGGGTTTCCTATCTGTGCAGCCGAGCACCGCAGCACCTCCATGGACTATTACATCCAGACGGTCCCGGTGTTTCCTCCGCAGGCTCCACTTCATTCAGCTGCCCGATAAACCCGCTGCTTCTTCCCACTTTAACCTGAATAACAAACCAGGGCTCGGTGCTCCGGTTGGATCCAAACGGAGAGCTGGGGCTAGCTCAGAGACTAGCGGAGGCTAACTGGCTGTGCTTCCCTCCGGTCATGCTGCGGCTAACGCTCTGCTAGCCGCTCCCAGCTAGCTCCGGTTTGTTATTCAGGTTAAAGTGGGAGGGAAGAAATAAAACCTAAACAGCCAATCAGAGTATTCTCTTTCACTGGCTAGCTCCGCCGCTGATTCAACATGCTCAATCAGCCGAAAAGCTGCTGACGCCGACGTCAAAGGGCCGGCGGTGCGGGACACCCCGCAAAAACTAGGCTGACAGACGCTCACTGACGGCCCGACTTTGGTCGACCGGTGTGTCAGGGCCTTAACTTAGAACTG